CGGCTCCTCGCCGGCGGGAGCGGATCGGGGTCTGGGTCTGGGTCTGCGCGCGGCGGGCCAGCTGCGCTCCAGGGGCCACCTCGCCGCCGGGACCCGGCTCCCCGGGAGCCCCTCTTGCCCGCCCGCACAGCATCCATTTCTTGGAAAGTTAAGATGGAGCCGGCTCGAGCCAGGGGCCGACGAGGCCCGGCCATCGGGGAGACATGCGGCCAGCCGCGGCATTCGGGGGGGCCTCTCTGAGCTTCTGGAGTTCTCTGGGATGCAGCTGCCCCACCCCCACCCCAGGGCGGGGAGGGAGGGGCTTTGCTGGGTGGCGGGAAGGAAGGCGTGCGCCCCGGGGACGACACCGTCTCCGGGCAGCTGGCAGACGCTTGGGAGAGCCTGGCTGGAGGCCGCCGCCCCAGAGCTGGGGACCCTGGGCCACTGCGCGCAGGGGTGACCGCCAGCCCTTTCCCCGTCTACACTTCCATCTAAAATAATTTTTTTTGAGCCTCTGGAGTAATGTAATGATATTCGTTGATCAGGCTTTTCAAGAGGAGGCTGATGGTATTGAGGCTTTGGTTTTTCCTTCGAATCTTTCCGAATGTTGCATTTCTCCTTTTTTTAGTTGTGGCAACTGTCCATAAAGTTGCGTTTGAGTGTGCTTTCTCCGGGTGTGTTCAGAGCAGCGCACCTGAAGCTGCCGCGCTGTTTACACCACACCCAACAGCATCTCGGGCCGATGCTCACGCGGGCGCCCCTCTGGTGGGCATCCCTATGAACGGTTGCCCTACACAGCACATGACAGACGTTAACTAACCACCAGTCTTGTTCCAGAACGTTCTCTTCATCTCAAAGGAAACACAGTAAGCATTCAACAGCCCTGGCCTGCAGGGTCCTGGAGTTTTAGCCAGGGTGGGACCCTGCAGCATTTTGGTGATCATGGTCTAAAGGCAACGGGGGAGCCAAACACCAGCGCCTGTTCACCTCTTGCTTTCGCTTCTCAGCAGCGTTCACCTGGTTGAATGTATTAACTAGTTTAGCTTTAAAGCCATGGCTGCCTTCTTAGAGATGTGTAAAAGACCGGGACTTTTGAGGATGGAGAGTCTGGGTACAGATCCAGTTGGCCCATCTTAACTCCCTCGTGAAAATTTCTGTCTTAGTGGTGCAAAGGGTTAAGGTCAGCTGATAACAAGTCTACCCAGGGGCACTGTGGAAGAAAGGCCTGGTGATCTAAAGTCCAAAGTCAGCCCCTGAAACCCAGTGGAACACAGTCCCACCCTGTCTGACAGACTCGGTCTTCACTTGAGCCCAAATCCACTCACAGCCGTCTGGTGGATTGTGGCTCACAGAGACACCCTCTGTAGGGTTTTGCAAACTTTGTAACTCATTATAGGAGCAGCACTGGGAGTTTGGAACTTCCAACTTTGTGGTTCGATCCAATATTCCCGACAAGAGGCCCCAGCTGGAACTGGCACTTGCTAAGCCATCAGCAACAATAGATGTCTATTATTATATTGTTTATTTCCTAACATACTCTTAAAACAGGTGTCAGCATACTTTAGCTATAAAGGGCCAGAGAATAAATGCTTTTCAGTCTTGTGGGCCTTGAGGCAACACTGGAGAAACCATGTAGGTACTTAGGTAAAAGGGTGAAAAAAGAAAATTTTCACAGATTATTTTTAATTGATGAAATTAACAGTGTTATTTATGGATCCCTAAATTCAGAATCTCTAATCTTCACAGGCTGCAAAATAGTCTCATTTTCATTTCCCCATGTCATGCAACGGAGGAGTCTGTTGGCATAGTAGGTTATGCACTGGGCTATGAACTACGAAGTCAGCAGTTTGAAACTACCAGCCCCACCTGGGGCAGGGAGGGGGTGATGAGGACTTCAACTCCTGTAAAGAGTTATCGTCTGGGAAACCCACAGGGCCCATTCTACTTTGTCCTAGAGGGTCACTGAGTCAGAATCGACTCATGGTAGTGCTTTATTAGTTTTTGAGTCATTTGATCATGCTATATTGTGGGTCGGATTAAAGTAGACTGAAAATAAGAATAATAAAGCAGACCATATTGTATCCATGAATTATTGCTTCGTGGAAGCAGTTTGAACAGCAAGTGCCTTACATTGCCGTGGGACCCTGCCACGTCCGGGCTGGAAGAGCTGGACACTCTTTGATCTGTTTCTTCACATGTAAACTAGAAACCACTGGCTTTATTCCCCCCAAACTTTTTATGGTGAATTGGGTGAGACCTCATGTATCTTATTGTTATTTTTGTGTTCAACAACTTACAGAACTTCTCAAACCTCCCAGTGGCCTGCTCTGTTGCCTCCCTGGCTTCTTCTGCCCAGCCCCCCTCTTGTAGGATATTATGATCTTCACCTTCACTCAGAGTTAACCCCTACTCTCTAGGCTAGGAGTGGGGAACCTTCTTATCTGCCAAGGGTCATTTGAATGCTTATAATATTCTTGGGCCATACAAAAGTATCAACAAGCAAACATTAGTTTGCTGTATTTGGTCGAACATTTCATGAACTCACGCCTAACGGAAGGAGCCCCGGTGGAGGAGAGGTTACCAGTGGGTTGAGAACGGAAGGGTCAGCGGTTGAAGCCAACAGCTACTCTCCCGGAGAAAGATGGGGCAGTCCCTGGATGGAAACTCACGAGGCAGCTCTACACTCCTAAGGGGCGCTGCGAGTCGCCTGCGAGTCGAGTTTGAAAGCAGTGGCTAGAGCAGCTTCTCTTGGAGACCTGTGAGGTTAGCCGGGATTGTTTGTTTTTGAGGTCCTGTGTCCTGACTGAAGCCTTGGGAATGCAGTGGTGATGAGTTGGATTGTGATCCGCAAAAAAACAACCAGCCACTCCTTAGGCGAAGGGCAGGCTGTAGCTGTAAACAGATAGATACAGTCATCAGTTGCCTTGACTGATGGCAGGGAGTCCTGAGCACCTGGCCTGAGGGCCTGACCTCCCCACCCCAGCCCAAGCCTGCTTCTTTCCCTTCCCCTTCCCCCTCTGATAAAGGGCAAAGTCCATTGCTTTTGGTATGAAAAACGTCTTTGTTTTTTTAATCACCAAGGTCTCATACACTCTCAGTCCTTCTGTGCGTGACTAACTTCTGGAGAATGCAGTCATGTCCCCGGGTGTTCCACAGTTTTGTCATTTTGTACATACTGCTCCCTTCTTCTCCTTGTTGACGTTTAGCTGGTTTCCCTCTCTTGCTGTTGTAAATACTGCTGCCGTGAAGAAGGGGGTGCAGAGATCTGTTTGGACTGTGCTTTCTTTTTTTTTTTTTTTTGAATCATTTTATTGGAGGCTCGGACAGCTCTTATCCCAATACATACATGCATCCATTGTGTCAAGCACGTTTGTGGGCTATGTTCTTTACTCCTGTAAGCACGGGCTGGGGGAGGGGGGAGAGGGGAGGGTTTGAGAAAGCACCATACCACTCCCTACAGTGTTTGGACCAGCAGCGTACGGTGGCTCCAGTCTCTCCCCAGCCCTCTAGCATTTGTTTTCATTTTTTAACCGTTGCTGGCAATTCTGGGATGAGGTGGTCTCTCACCCTCGTTCCGCTTTGCAACTCGTGGCTGGCTAGTCATCTCGAGCTCTTCCTCACGTCTTTCTTGGCCGGCGGACTGGCTTCTTTGGTAAACTGTGTATGTTCTCTGCCCAGTTTAAAAATTGGGTTATTTGGCGTTTTCTCACTGAGGTGTTGGAAGTTTTCTATAGATTTGCGAGATCGTGAGAGGAAACCAGCCTCCAACAACCGAAGGGCCAGTAGGCACAACTGTAGGGTGAGAATCTATAAAGATCATAGTAAAGTTACAGGGGATAGGAAAGACAGGAGAGTAAAATTCAGGAGTCAGACACAGTTTATGGCAGCATGCTCACCTCAGCTCCTCTTGATGGTCCACGTGGAACGGGAAGAAGAGAGACAGACCTTTACTATCTTGGGACATTTATATTCAGTAGTTACATGCGTCACAAGGTGGGTGGTATCTACATTAAGGTCCATGAGCTCACAGGTGAGGAAATCTAACACCTGCATTGGAGGAAAGGGTGTATGGGGGCGGGGAGGGGAGAAGGGGAGTTGGGTGACCGTGGGGAAGGGAGAAAAGGCTGTCGGCTTCTATAGGGAGATATTATCAACCCTGTGCTCACTTTAAGGCAGCATAGCTGTTAAGGGGAGAATCTGTGGGAATGATATTTAAAGGGGGATAATGTACTAGGGACTTTAACTTACTAAAGTGGAAGCTTTCCTACGATGGAATACCAGCTTTCCAGATTCCCTCTGTGGTAAGTTAGGGCATATAGTCCTTGCCCTATTTCCCTCAGTGTGAATTTCCCACAGAGACACGAGTCCCTTTCCTGATAAGCTTTGCTAATCCCCCCTCCACTCCCCTAGTCTCTGAGCCCTTGTAGTGGAATCTTTTAATGCGCATCACTTTATATTTTGGTGGTCCAAGTTATCTGCTCTCGGGAGAAAGATGGGGCTTTCTACTCCTATAGAGAGTTACAGTCTCGGAAACTCAGAGGCAGCCCTACCCTGTCCTCTAAGTGGTCATTGGTTCGATGGCTGTGAGCTGAGTGCTTTTGAGTTATCCAGTCTTCTACTGTATGTGGTTTTCCTTATCATTGATAGTGTGCTTAGGGCCCGTTTTTCCATTGATGATCTTTATAGTTCTAGGATTTACATTCGGGTCTTTAATCCACGTTGGATTCCTTTCTTGTGCATGGAGTGAGGTATGGCTGGGATCGTTCTTCTGCAGATGGGATCTAGCTGTGCCAACGCTGTCTGTTGACGAGATTATCTCTTGCTCATTTACTGTGTTTCGATCTTGTGTCAAGCATTCATTGTCTGGAGACGGATGGGTTTATCTTGAGGTTCTTGATTCTGTTCACACACATTGGACCAGCCAGGCTGGGCTGTTTTGACTACGGTAGCTGTGTGGTGGGTTTTGTACTTCTTTAAGGTGCGTGCTTATCCTGTAACACTGGCTTTTTAAAGTTGTTCTGGATTTCACTGTCGTCCAGTCTAAGCAGGTGGGACTCAGAGGCCACAGGAAAAAAAAAATGCTTCGGATGGGAGACCATACTCCCAAGGAACCCCAAGGCTGTGACCAGAGCCACACCGTCTAGTATCCCAGGCTAACCGTGACCTGAGGAGCCCCGCTGGTGTAGCGATGATGAAATAAGCAGCCACTGCCAGCTCAGCGGTTGGAAGCCAGCTGCTCCTGGAGGCTTACAGCTCCGGTGAAGAGTTCGAGCCAGGAGACCCACATGAGTTGAAATGGAAGGCCACGAGTTTTTTGTTTAATCCTGTCTCCTGAGCACAACAGACAACTCCCTGCAACGTGGGATTACAGTCAACAATTTTTATCACAAAGGGAAAACCTGAGCAGAAAATCAGAAAAACAAACTGCCATCTAGTCAATTCTGACTGATAGTGACGCTCTAAAACAAGCGGGCTGCCTCTCAGGTTTCCCAAGAAACCTAACTCATTAGGGGAGTAGAAAGCCCCATCTTGCTCTTTCCCAGCAGCTGGTGGTTTCGAAATGCTGACTTTGGTTGACATCCTAACGTGTAGCTCCTACACCCCCAGGGCTCCTGGACCACGGTGCTACAAGGGCCACATCAAGGAATGACCTACTTTAACAATTCAATTTAGGGCATGTAATTCACATATCATACAATTCCATAGCTCAGTCACATCAAGGGTAGTCATACAGTCATGACCACCGTCAGTTTTAGAACCGTTTTCTTCATTCTTGTACTCCTGGTACTCCTTTCCCCCAGCCTCCCCTGCCGTACTCCCAAGAAACTATCAATCAAGTTACAGTCTCCATAGATGACCTATGTTGGATTCAGATACAGCAGCGGTCCTCAACCTGTGGGTCCTGACCCCTTTGGGGGCCGAATGACCCTTTCACAGGGATCGCCCGATTCATAACAGTAGCAAAATGACAGTGATGAAGTAGCAATGAAAATAATTTTATGGTTGGTGGGTCGCCACCACATGAGGAACTGCATTAAAGGGCTGTAGCATTAGGAAGGTTGAGAACCACTGATATACAGAGACACGTTTAATAATAATAACTATTAAAAACTAACAATAACAACGATATTTAAAAACTGAAACACCTCAGTCAAAGGTGACTGCCTGACAGTCACTGCTGGCCAGCTGGCCCGCATACCGGTACCTGTGGGACATTGGCCACAGCCAGGCGTCTGGTTGAACCTTCTCCTCCTGTCACACGTGTCCTTCATTTACCAAAAGTTCCCACCCAGAAAGGCAATTCTCCGGACTTGGAGGAAACTTGGGGGTGTGGGTCTCCATACATGTGCCTTGGTATAGACAGCCAGGATCATGTCATGGGCGCGGATCTGAAAAGTCAAAGCGGATCCCCGGGTCTCGCACTGGCTGCCCTCCTCCTCCTCACACCTCTTTCTTGGGAAGAGTGGCTGTCACCCAGACGGTTTCTCCGCCCTCCAACCGACCTGTTTTTGGGGTGAGCTGCTGAAACACCGCCCGGGTTGCGCCATCCGCACACTTGTAAGTTGGAGCCCGTTGTTGGAGCCCCTGTCTCCATCCATCTTGCTGAGGATCTTCCTCTTTTTCTTTTGATTACGTGTTGGGCTACCAACCCAACACTTCAGCAGTTCGAAACCTAAAGACGAGGTTTTCCACTCCTGTGAAAAGCCAGTCTCTGACACCCATCGGGGGGCCGTGCTGCCCTGCCCTTCAGGTTCGCCGTAGTCCAAGGACTCGAGGACAGGGAGGTCAGTTTGGTTTTGGACCCTCTACCACGCACGGGGTGCTTCTCCAGGGCTCCCCTCTCCTGGTAACCAGCCTAGAGGGGGTACATGAGCACGCTCCCCTCCCCATCCTGCTCCTAAGGAGCTTTCCGACCGTGAGAACTCAGAAGGGTTTGTACATTGTATTTGCAGGAGGGTCTGTGAGGGGAGCCTCCGAATTCATGAGCCCCTGGACAGTGTCTTTTCAGTTTTCTTTGGAGTGTTTGGATCCTGCACGTGCTGTTGTCATCTCGCAGACATCCCCCGGGGATGGACGGGAGGCTTTCAAGGCGTCACACGCGTCCTTCCAACTGATCCCACACAGGATGGAAGCTGACCGGGGAGTTTCTCTAAGCAGGGCAGGCCAGGACAATCCCTCCCTTGTGATACTTTGTGGATTTATCGAGCCTGGTCAGCCCTTTGTTTCAAGCCTTGCTTGTATCTGTAAGAATAATGAATAATTCCAAAGGACAAAATGTTACACATGTACCAAGGTGTGTGTGTGTGTGTGTGTGTGTGTGTGTGTGTGTGTGTGTGCTGGGCAAGATTAGTTTATCCTGTATCACTTGTACTCCTAGTTTGTGTGTGTGTGTGTGTTGGGCAAGATTAGTTTATCCTGTATCACTTGTCCTCCTAGTTTGTGTGTGTATGTGTGTGTGTGTGTGTGTGTGTGTGTGTGTGTATTGGTGATGATGGGGGTGGTGGGCTTTGTTTATCCTGTATCATTTATACTCCCGGTTAAACTGGTTACCCTGTTACCTCCAATCCAAACGCAGCATCTCTTAGCACACTGGTCACAAATCAGTGTTCCCCTCCTCCCCCCACAACACACACACACACACACACACACACACGGCTGGGTGCCAATGCGAGGGACAGAGAGCTCAGCTGGTACCTGCCTCCTGCTTACATATTGTCCAGCAGGTTGGAGGTCGTTGGTTTTTTTCCCAAGTGTCTGAAAACAAGACCAAGCAAGCAGTCACCGCCACAGGGGCCTGGGCAGCTGGGTGCCTGTTCTGATGGAGGGTTTGGAAACCTCTGCTTTTCCAAGCATCCCTGCATCCCACAGCCCGGACTCCAGAGCTGGCCTGCGTCCTTCTCTCTTGCTCGCAGCCTTTGAGTCGATTCTGACTTGCAGTGACCCTAGAGGACAGATTTCTAGGAGGCCGGGTGTGGCTGAGTTATGCAATGGGCTACTGCTCCCTTCAAGGTCAGCAGCTTGAAACCATCAGTGGGAGAAAGACGAGGCTTTCTACTCCCCTGGAGTTACAGTCTCACAGACCCACAGGCGCAGTTCTACTCAGTCCCCCAAAGGGCCCCTGTGCGTCGAACGGACCCGACGACAGTGAGTTTTTAGGGATCAGAGCAGAACTACCCCATCGTGCTGACAGGTCACAGGTACTCCTTCCGGGAATAGAGCACCGGGTTCTTTTTGATGAAGGAAGGGGAAAGGTTAGCCTGCGGTTAAGCAGAACTAGAAATGTAACAGTTTGTGGATATTGAGTTAAAAGGGACCCAGGATGTAAGTCGGCCCTTCACTCTAGTAAATTCCTTTTAAACGTGTTAATTATTCACGGCCTGGGTCTGTTAAAATCCTGTTAAAATCCTGTTCCTCGCGTGTTCCTGATTCCAGAAAGGGGAAGCAGGACCACTGAGATGGCCTTGGTCTGCCGGCCCTGCAGTCATGAAGATCTCACCGCATGGTCTTATAACCCCTGGGGAAAGGGAGACTCTTTCCAGGACTCTCGTTCCCCTTTGACCTCTAGTCATTGCGAAAACCTGTTAATTACCTCCTTGAACTCTGCTGCAAACCCTGTTTCCTGCCGTACAGCTTAAGGTGTAGGGCTTGCTGGGTTGGGACTGAACACCTCGAGCAGTCCAGAGGGAGAAGCCCAAGCCCTGATTTTTTAACCTTGGAATTTCAGGAATCAGCCTGGCCTCTGTTTTTGGCGATGCGAGGAGAGGCAGTCCCAGACACCTTGCAGTAAGACAGCACTTTCTCTCTTGATCCTCTCCTGGGTTCAGCTACTGACCTTTTGCGTCGCGGGCGAGCAGCCCAGCGTCTAGAGCCTTTATTCACCAGCTGCTCGTTCACACGGGGGACCGCTGACCATGACCTTTTGCTCAGGGTGGCTTCTCTGGCTCACAGCTTGGAGCAGGAAGCATTTTTGGAAAGCTGTTCTGTGCAGACCAGGTGACTTGGTGGGCCTGTGTGAGACCCCAAACAAACCTTAAAGATGGTTGCACTGGAGCTGGGGTGCTGGGCTATCTGCACTTTTGTTGAGGGTTGGGGCGGGGGGGAAGGACCTTCTTGGGGCGCTCATATGCTGAGCCCAACTCAAGGCAGTGCAGAGCCGTGAAACACTAACGGGAGGATGAGCTGCAGCTTGTCCTGCTAGTTAACCCCCTTGTCCACCAGGCATAGGGCCCCGGTGGTGAGCAGCTGGCCGGGGGACTTTCAGGGGCGAGTGAACAGCAGATGGGGGTGGGGGTGGGGCTTCTGGGGTCTTACCCCAGAGTTTGCCCCATTGACCTAGGGTCACCTCCCTTCCTACTTCTGCGGTGCTGGGAGAGACGCTGGGGGTCTTTCAGGAGCCCTGCTTGCAGGCTGCAGGCTCTGGAGGAGTGTGGGGTCCTCTCTGAGAAGCCTTTGATCAGATTGACAGGTATCCCCACTGTTTCTGCAGCAAGTCTGCTCTCTTTCCTCTCCCTTGAAAGGCTGAGACCTGGGATGGAGCCCAGCACTCTTTTCTGCCCCCGGTATCTCTACCTGTCTTTGCTACAAGCCCCTTGCCAGTGTGTGCACTCCCATAGCCTCACATTAAGCTTGTGGGGGTGTTGGGGTGTGGAGTCGATCCCTGGTGCCATAGTCATTACACGTTGGGTTGCTGACTGTAAGGTCAGCAGTTTGAAACTACCAGGAGAAAGATGGGGCTTTCGACTCCCCTCAAGAGCTGCAGTCTTGGCAATCCACAGAGACAGTTGTGCCCTTTCCTTGCAGGGCCTCTGTGAGTTGGAATCAACTCGATGGCAGTGAGTTTGGGGTTTTGGCAGGGGAAGGGAAGGAGGGAGGGAGAAGGAGCCTCTGTGGTGCTGTGGGGTAGGCGCTGGGCTGCTAACCACACAAGGTTGGCGGTTCAATCCCCCCAGTCACTCCAGGGGAGAAAGATGAGGCTGTCTGTTCCCATAAAGATGGAAACCCAAAGGGGGCAGTTCTGCTGTCCTGCGGGGTCCCTGTGAGTGAGAAATGTCGTGATGACCACGGGCGTGAATTTTGTTTATTTCTTTGGTTTGGTTTGGTAGGCAGCGGGGTTGTTGAAAAGAAGCAGAGTGTTTTATTATCATGAACTTTAGAGGATACAAGGGAGAACGGTGCCCCTCGAAACTGATCACTAATGTGGACTTGGCTTATGTCAGCCTTACTGTGAGAGTGAGCTTGTCCCAGTTGAGGCTCATGGGCTCCTTGTTATCCCGTCCCTCCACACCCCACCCCTCCACTGGGATCCATCCTGCTGGGCCCAGTTATGTCTACAGATGCCCTAAGAAGACGGGTCTTGTACACCCCTCCTGTCCACGGTCAATCACCGAGCGGTTTCTCTTTCTCTGCGCAGAGACGTCGTTCAGAATTCAAAAGAAGTGCTGGGTTTGCTGCAGGAGAAAAACCCGTCATTTAAGCCGGTTCTGGCCATCATTCAGGTGAGGTGCCCCTGTGGGTTGGGCCCCGGTTTCTGGCCTTTGCATTTAGAACAGAATCGCCTGAAGAGGCCAGCTGGGTTAGTTGTCAGAGCTGTCTGGGAAATGTGGGGCCCTCCGGGCTGCCAGCTCACTTCAGGGTCCGAGACTGAACACTTGGGTGTCTTCCTGCAGCCAGACTTCTCCGGGGTGTGGGCGCTCTCCTCTCGGGTCAGGAGCTAGGCCCAGGGAGGATGGTCCAGCGAGACGGACACTGGGAAATGCAGAGAAGGAATCCACACATGGGAGCAACTGGGGGGAGCCTGGATTCGGCAGTAATACCTGGAGGTGGGTGGTTCGACGATGACAACAGGGTGGGAGGTCCTGTTTCAACCGAGGCCGCCTTTTCTCACCACCAGCCTCATGGGTCATAGACAGCAGTTGCCACAGAACCAGCACCTCAAACAGGAACATAAATGACGTGCCCTGTGCAGGATGCTTGTCCCCCTTCATCCAATGGGACTTGAATGAGAAGAGGGGGAAGTGCCCCTTCGAGGAGCGTGGACAAGGGGCATCCCCCTCCTCTGCTGGCCTGTCAGCCAGGCCAGGCCCATGGGCACGCCCAGCTGGAGGGATTTGCATTGGGGAGTCCTTGGCTGCAGGCCTGTGGCTCGGTGCCCCTGTCGCCATGTCCTCTGTGCGTGCTGATTGGCTCACTGTGGGTGACAGGTGCAGGGCACCAGGCGGTGAGCCAGGGCCATCACCCAGCCCCGCCAGCAGTTGGCATGCCCTTAATGCCTCCAGCTGCAGCCTCCAGCTCCCAGGGGTTCTGTTTGTAGGACTGCAGGGCTAGGCTCACCCAGTGATGTTCCTGGGGTTTGTATCCGCCCCCTTACGGGGAACGGCAATGGGAAAAGTGGAGAGGCAGTCGGACTGTAGAGTGACCTGGGCCTCGGCACTTTAACTTTCCACCTCTCCCACCTCCCAATGACCATCCACGTGGCTTGGAATCCATGGCCTCCCCGTGGGGATCAGAGGAGAGCTGTGTTCTATAAATTTGTAATGGCCACTCGTTCTAAAGCAGATCACCACGCCTTTCCTCCGAGGCACTTTGTGGTGGGCGGAGAAGCCCCTCCCCCCTCCAGCCTTTGGGCTAGCACAGTGTTCTCAACCTGTGGGTCGCGACCCTTTGGGGTTGAACGACCCTTTCACAGGGGTCGCCTGATTCATAACAGTAGCAAAGTGATGAAGTAGCAACGAAAATAATGTTATGGTTGGGGGTCACCACAACATAAGGAAATGTATTTTTTTAAATCATTTTATTGGGGGTTCATACAACTCTTATCACAATCCATACATACATCAATTGTGTAAAGCACACTTGTACATTGGTTGCCCTCATCATTCTCAAAACATTTTCTCTCCACTTAAGCCCTTGGTATCAGCTCATTTTTTCCCCCGTCCCTCCCCACTTTGCCCTCCTTCATGAACCCTTGGTAATTTATAAATTATTATTATTTTGTGAGGAACTGTATGAAAGGGTGGCGGCATTAGGAAGGTTGAGAACCACCGGGCTAGCAGCTGAGCGCCTTCGCTGTTTGCATCCCCCCCCCCCCCCCCACACACACACACTCCAGCTTCACCTTCTGGGCAGATCATGGGAGTGCCTATTTGTGGCGTCCAGGGAGCCCTGCCGGAGTGGTGGGTTGCACCCTGGACTGCTGGCTGCACCACACCATCAGTGCTTGGGGTGGGGAGAAAGTCAGGATGGTTTGCTGCCTTAGAGAATGACAGTGTCGGGAGCTCACGGGGGCAGTTCTACCCTGTCCTGTAGGGTCATTCAGGGTCGGAAGCACCTCCGAGGCAGTGGCTTTTTAAGAATGTATTTAACAGAGGGAGGCCTTACCTTGAGGCCACTGCGAAAAGCAGCACATCTGAAAGCCCGGGTTGTCTCTCTTAGTCCAGTTCATCGTCCTCAAGAGCTTCCTGACGCTGCCACCCCTTCATACAGCTCCTCA